GAAGGAGGATGACCCATCCTGCAGGCACCATGGCAGGGCTGACAGAGGGCCAGCCCCATGCCAGCGGGAGCCCAGTGGCAGGAGCAAGGGGGGAGCCTTCCTTGTGCCAGCAGCAACAGCTCGCCTGCCACGGCATCTGGGCGCCCTGTGAAACAAAAAGCAGAGAGTGCAGGCCAGAAGCATTTAGAGATCACAAGTCTGTTTAGAACCATGATGGGGCTTGGTGTTTACTCACAAAAGGTGGGGGGCACACTCCTTCTTTCCTTTTCCTTCCTGCAACCCTCCTCCCCCTCTCTCCATCACCCAGGACAAGCACATCCCCTGGGTGAGACAGGGATGGCCAGAGCTCGGGCTGCAGGTGCAGAAGCCAGCCCCAGCCTCTTGCCTCTAGAAGAGCCAAGGAGGAGGAAATTTCTGTCCCTCTGTATTGGGTTTGCATGGCAAGGTTTTGGTAGTGGGGTGGCTTCTGCAAGAAGTTGCTAGAAGCTTCCCCCATGTCTAACAGAGCCAATACCAGCCAACTCCAAGATGGACTCACCACTGGCCAAGGCCAAGCCCATCAATGACAGTGGTAGCGCCTCTGGGATAACATAAAGAATGGGAAAGAAACTCCATAACAGCAAGAGAAACTGCAGCTGGAGAGAGGAGTGAGAAGATGGGAGAAGAACAACTCTGTAGAAACCCAGGTCAGACAAGAAGGAGGAGCTCCAGGCACTGGAGCAGATTCCCCTGCAGCCCCTGGAAAAGACCATGGTGAGGCAGGCTGTCCCCCTGCAGCCCATGGAGGTTGATGGGGAGCAGAGATTCCACCTGTAGCCCATGGAGGACCCCACACCAGAGCAGGTGGATGCCTGAAGGACGCTGTGACCCCATGGGAAGCTTGTGCTGGAGCAAGCAAAGAGTGTGAGGAGTCCTCCCCCCAAGGAGGAAGGAGCGGCAGATACAACGTGTGATGAACTGATCACAACTCCCATTCCCCGTCCCCCTGTGTTGCTGGGCAAGGGGAGGTAGAGAATTTGGGAGTGAAGTTGTGCCCAGGGAGAAGGGAGAGGTGGGGGGAGGTGTTTTTAAGATTTAGGTTTTATTTCTCAGTATCCTACACTGATTTGATTGGTAATTTTTTTTTTTTTTCCAAAACAAGTCTGTTTTGCCAGTGATGGTAATTGGTGAACAATCCCTCCCTGTCCTTATCTCGACCCAGGAGCCTTTCATTACTAGTTTCTATGACCTGTTAAGCT